TTAATATAGGGGGTCTGCATATTACGTCATTCTCACGTGTGCGTCCTTTAATATAGGGGGTCTGCATATTACGTCATTCTCACGTGTGCGTCCTTTAATATAGGGGGTCTGCATATTACGTCATTCTCATGTGTGTGTGTCCTTTAATTAAGGGGGTCTGCATATTATGTCATTCTCATGTGTGTGTGTCCTTTAATATAGGGGGTCTGCATATTATGTCATTCTCATGTGTGTGTGTCCTTTAATTAAGGGTCTGCATATTACGTCATTCTCATGTGTGTGTGTCCTTTAATTAAGGGTCTGCATATTACGTCATTCTCATGTGTGTGTCCTTTAATATAGGGGGTCTGTATTTTGGCTCATTCTCAGATGAGTGTCCTTTATGAGGGTGTGTATATGACCACACGTCTTGAGGCCGAACCCAGTTGGACGTACCTTGATCACCCCATTGGGCGAGCTTGGCTCGGCCCAGTGCAGCAGCAGGGCACGTCCGTCCTCGCGCTGCTCCACGGTTAAGTTAGCCAGGCCGCCAGGCGAAGCCTCTAGAGTGTGCGTTGAAGCCCAGGGGCTAGAGTGGCTTCCGGCGGTATTTACGGCTACCACACTCATGCTGTAGCTGGTGTAGGGGTCCAGGCCAAACAGGTGGGCCTCCAGCTCGCTGCCCTGCATAAGAAGGAAAACAGAGGACTGACCTATGTGCATTCATGCATTGTGCAGCCAAATAACCACTAATGCAAATAAATCAGCTAAGTTTATTTTTAATAAGTGTGTCGCAGCTGCAGAAACCCAACAAAACTTTGGTGTCCAACTGTATGTAAAGCCACGGAGCTTAAAACATAAACCAAACAAAAGGGATGAAAACTAAATAAAACTTCAGAATGAGAGCAGCACGGGTTTATAGGATGCGCAGAGGGGGGCATTTCCGCAGTGATTCTGGACGCGCCCATATCATACACATGCATACCCAGTCCAGCAGACCCCTGGTGCATGATGACACAGACTTGATAGCTTCCATGCGAAACAGCGCTGTCAATTTTCAAATCGATTAGCACCAGAGTGCCTCTCTCTGGGAAGATGCAGGCCGTGCCCCGCGCCTCCTGTTCGGGGTGGATTAATAGGGCTACTTTACAGTAGTTAGCCAACCCACAATCCCCGGCCACGCGGGCGGAATTTGCATAATGTGGGACGGCTCTTAAGATCACAGAGAACAAAGCTGGCAAAATACAACCACGATAACATTTTTATGGTCATTTTTTTGCCTGTGTGTTTTTAAAACAGCAAACAAGATTAATAATTCCCCTCCGAAAAGAGAGTGGGGGTGGGGGTACAGTTCTTTTGTAAATGCACCCACTTACCAAGTGCCAAAAAAACAATGGCATAAGCTCGGACGCAAACAATAATCTTTTCCTGACAGATTAGACACCAAATCCATTACAATGTGGGAAGCTCTGGGACATTTAAAGGTATCTTTCATGCTGTGAAATATGGAAAGGATGTGGATTATAAAGCATAAAACATATGCACATTGTCAATGGCAACAGCTGTTTCATTCTGCTTTATTTCAGCACAGAGACATGTTTTCTGCCCCTAGATGGCAATGCTATCAAACACTTTACTAAACACGGATACCTAGCCATTTACAACCCCCCCCACTCTCCCAAGCCACTCAAGACGGCCATTAAAAAACGACTAAGAGAATTGATTTTGTTATAGATTTCTAAATAAATGTTTATGGCTTAGAACACTAAAAGTGGAAGTGTTTAAGTTTTCATTAGTGGAATATCCTTTACAATTAAATTAAAACATACAGGCAGTGCTGTCAGACAAAATAAGGAAAAAAGCCAGATATGCTGTGTATGTAAATATATGTGAAAGTTTTTGTTAATGAGCAGTTTCAGGAAATTACACGTTTTTGTGTTTTTTTTTTCCAGAAAAGCACAACATTCCTGGGCATAAATAATGCAATCAGCCCGTCCCGAAGCAGTGGTGTCTGCACTTCAGAATGAGGTGTAAACCCAAGCAAAATTTTGGCAGAGGGTTGAAAAGTGATGGAGCTTAATTTAGATTCTGATTGTACTGCCAAGACTGAACACTGGAAATAGAGAAAGCAGCCTTTTTAGTACATGGACTTGGAAAAGGCTAATATCTATCTACTGTATAGCTGCATACAGTACAGGGGCTGTTCCAGACTAAATCAACAGAGTGTAATTTCACAGAAGCTACACAAGATCTTCCCACAGCTGATTCCAAATGTAAACACATTTCTGTAGAGACACACAGACATGCTGTATCACCAGTGACTGGGAGTGAAGGCTTTTAATTAACATACTAAAGGAAATGTCAAAAGGAGCTGAGAGATGCTGCAGTATATTCACATGTCGGCTCTGAGGAACACCTCGTCTGTTTGGAGGAAAAGAAAACCTTTCAACCTTTCTTATGATGTTTCTTTTCTTGGTGAACGCTGGTCAGCCCTGCTTCATCGAGTCTTTGTATATATGTTATTTTAGCAGACAGCAGTGGGAGCGTATCGGTCCAGAGGATGATTTTAATTAAGAATAACCATGTGTATTTGTCACAGCAATTATGCTGATTAGTTTAAAGGAAAGATTCCTGACCCTTCAAAGGTGCACGACTGACTAGTTTAACATACCGGGAACAAACCAGCAAAGCCATACTGATTTCATTCTGGCTCAGAATCTTTGGTTGGGGGGGGGGGCACATATGGATTTTACCTTTTTTCATGTCATTTTTCTTATATACTAAAGGGGCAGCTGGTTTGTAAGTCTGTTTGAAATTCTATGTTAATTACAGCGTAATTAATACAATTTTAGTTATTGCAGTTTCCAGGTCATGTGACTCTAGCATCCTCCAGTTGTATAGAATGAATAACAAAGAAAATAAAAGTAAAATATTTAAGGAAAATGTGAAATGCTGGAAAACAGAAACACTGCACAGACTCACAGGGCTACCTCAGGGTGTTCAGTAAAACACTATGCATGAACTGTGCAGGTCTCCACCAAATCTTAAAATATGTGACTTCAGTTTAAAAGGAAGCAGTGAAGGCAAATTAATTTTTGGTCAGAGGGGGCAGCTTCCCACTGCCCTGGAAAATATGAATAAAGGGCAAAAAGGTTCAACGATGGCACAAAGTACAGATAATAGAGAGGTAATGGAATCTATGCGTGCGGCTGGATCCTGCCATGAAGCAGGCAGAGTTGCTGAAGCTACAGGCCCAGGCGCTTTCCACGGCAGACACAGAGGGAGAAAGGGGGCTGCTGGGAGAGCTCACACGGCCATGCCCGCCTCACACTGGCAGCCATGATTGTTTTGTCTGGAGGCTCAGGGGTGCTGGACAGAAAGGCGGGGCCAAGGATGGCAGCAGGGCTGTTTAATTCTCTCAGCAAGCACTTTCCCAGCGCAGAGAGCGCTGGCCAATGTGACCATGGACGAATGCCAGTGTGACCTTGCCGTGGTGCAGGGTCGCTTGCCTTAAAATTCCCATAATGCACCTCACCCGTTTTACCACAGGGCTGACCCTAATAAAACATTTAGCCAATCTTTCTTTCAGTGACACAATTAGTCTTCATCTAAGAAGGTGCTACACTGATGCTCAAGGACTGGATTCACACCTTTGCTATAGGAGATGGGAAGCTAAAAATACAATTTGCAGTGATGGTCGAAAACAGTTATGGAATTATGTATTTTGTTGTTAAGTTCATTGAGTAAGTCAAATTTTTTTCATTTCAGATTCTTTCAGCACCATGGAAAGCTCCATTATTTTGCATATGTATAAAGTCACAACATAGCTCTTACTTTTTCTTCACCGTAAACACACAGACGAGCAAATCTGTAAACTGTTTTTTACGTTAATTATGTGCTGTTTATCCATACGCCGCGACGGGCTACAACTTCAATCACTTAAAGGGCCCTTGAATCAGAGGCCGGAGCAGCCCAGCTGCTCCTACTCGCCTGCCTGGAGTGGTTACACGCTCTCGGCCTTGATGAAGATTCGCAGCCTAATGGACCCACTCCTCCGAACCCTCACAGGAAGCACACAGCAGCTCATCTAACCGGCCGCTGAATCCAAGGGCAAATAATTGTCTTTTCTTTTACTCTTGAATCAGGAAGTGCCTCTTCACCCTCAAGAGAAAGAGGAGGAACACAACTATAAACATTAGGGGACTAAATACCTCAAAAGGATGCAGCAGCTTACAGTGATGGTATGTGATTTATCCTGAGGAAGTGCCTTTGCACTGATTTACACATTACTGATTACCGCTCTTAAAAACGCTGAGAAAAAGGCATTCGCTCGCAATATACTGCTGCATTTACGGCCCAATTGCGCACCTCCCACCAAGTGCAACAGGCAGGCTTCTCTCTGAACTGTTAACTTCACGTCTGCCATTATTTACATCTGTTTAGGTAAAGAAGCATGTAAATTTGTCCAATGCCTCCACTTCACCTGTGCCATGCTACAGCTTGGGCTTCTGGGAGTGTAACTGGGGCTCGGGGGAGGACAAGATGGATGTCTGCTGCGGCAGTGACTGGGACTGTCCTCCCAAAAGGAATAATATGCCAAAATTGGCGAGATGCAAAGGTGTAGAGGAGAGTGTGATACTGGGACAGATACAGTTTAATAATTTAAATGTGAAGGTCTATTTTTTTTTGGGGGGGGGGGGGACTAAAAAAGGCAAATTAAATATGGGGGGCCAGCACAAGTGCCCTAGTCCTTACACCCCAGGTAAGATGCGCCAACGACACACTGAAAGCCCATTTGGGCCGACCCTGTGATTTAAACAAGTGTGGAGCCCCTTCCAGCAGCTGTGCCATCCCATAACAAAAAGCGTTCCGTTTGAAATGGCCAGCCCTAGTACCTGTCCGCGATTCTGCTCTTTAGCCACAATTCTTCAGATGTTTCCATGGCGCCTATGGTCCAGCGAGCGGCCATTATGTTTCAGCAGTCCTCACTGTGTTCTTAATGATAAACTAACAGATTGTAAACAAGCAGCCAGCATCCCTGTGTCTCTCTCTCTCTCCCTCTTTTTTTTTCCTGGATATTTTTTAAACAATGTCCTTCATGTTAGAGTGGTTACAGGCGGCAGAAGGACATCATTAGAGCAGTGGTTAAACTGTAATTTACACCATTAGGAAGGCAGGAGCAATTTTTATTGCCTAGTAAATTTCAGCGCTGAAATATTTGGACCATATGGCTCAATTTGTGTAATAACCTTAATTTCTTGCACCCTTCAGGTCCTCCTGCTTCTGCGGCGCTCTGACAGGCCCCGGTTCTGCGGGAAAAGGCAAACTGTCTATAGCGCGAGAGTTGAGATTAATAAGGTGTCACGTCCTGTTTCGGTGAAGGCGTTGGAACGGCGTCCAGATGGTATCTCGGCAAATGACTGTCAGGGGTCCTGATCTAATCAATAGGATGTATTAATACATCTCCCAGCGCTGACTCCTCGCTGGGCCGCTGCGCAACATCTGGAAAGATCAGCCGGGGGAGGCAAGGGGGAGAGGAAGGGGGGGAAAAAAAAAAAAAAAAAAAGAAAAACACCACCACACTCAGAGCTCAGTTCCTCATAGAATCAAACTGGGCCCGATTAATTTTGTATGTAGGCCTGGTAAGCGCTAGGTAATGAAGAGGAGAGGGGTGGCAGGCGTGG